CACTTATCAGAAACCAGTCCTCCTGCATATCAACTGCTGGAGTAGACTGGGCAGTAGCAAACCTATCCTATACAGACTCAGTATAACACACCATTAGACACACAGTTATACTTACATTAAAGTAGCTGCGTCCATCCTGTACCCATCCAATGACCATATCAGATCCAACCATTCCTCCATTAGGTGATATACCAAATCCAACCCATCCTGTAGTCTCCACTCTGACTGCAAAGGTAAGGTTACTGTCTGTTGGATTGTAGTTCCAGTAGAGAGTATAATGAGGATGGAGAACCTTCCTAAAGTTGTACTTAGATTCAAGATTATGGTGATTATCACAGAAGCAGCAAGGCAGGACGAGCAGAAGAGCAATCAAGATAGAACTAAGTGGGGCACTCATTTTGTACTAAAAGGAACAAGCAGTTTACCACAACAATAGCTCTGTTATTTATAGAGCTGTGTAGTCTATCCTTAGTTAGCACTATAGTGTGTGGTGTATCAAAGGCACATACACCCACACACTATAGTACAAATCAAATAAGTCCTGGCTTCTAATCAACTAACATCCTCTTGTACCGGTTATATCCAGTAACCCTCAACATTTGTGGTTTATCTATATCTAGTAACCCTTAACATCTGTGGTATAATTACAGCATGTATGTGTATATAAACAGGGTGTGACATCACGTACACACATGTACATCATTCCAATATTGCATAACAAAGTATAAGGGTCACTGTCACTCTAGTACACAGTACAATACATTTATAATCTCACATGACTGTCTCATGCAAGCAAGAACACAAATCTTATGCTAGCATATCTGACAATGCAAAAAATCTGTCGTCAATTTTGTGTTCCCAACAAAGCATTTTCAGTGAGCTGAGAAGCCTTATAGCAAATTTGCAAAATAGCAAAATCCAAATTTGATTGGAATCAGCTCAAACTTAAGCAATATGCCAAAATTAATAGTGCTTAAGTTTCAAACTGCATTGAACTGGTTGGAAACTAGTTCCAGTAGTAGCCCTGTTTACACTATGCCCTTAAAGCGGTTTGAAACCGGTTTAGAAATAAACCAGTTTAGGTGTGGACAATTTCAATGCGGTTTGTTAACTAAACCACCTCAGGCAGGTGGTTTGAGATAATCAAACCGGTTTAAGTACAGCTGTATTATGTATGCAACCACTTTGTAGTGTAAACCAGTTTCAAACCACTTTGAGGGCATATTGTAAATGGGAGGGGGGCTTTAGAGTAGCCTGGCTACGCAAGACTTTAACTCTTGAATTCCCAGTGTATTTTTCTCATTTTCGATCTATTTCAATTAAAATTATGTAACTATTTTGTACTTACTTATTTAGTCTTCATTATTTTACTCCTTGTTGGTTGTTGTCATTTCATCAAAGGGTTAAAATTACACAAGAAAATTATTCATTATTAAAATAAGAAATATTTATAAAATCAAAATTATCTTTTATTATTTGTTCCATGTATCCAATGATGTTTGATGTGAAGTTTAATTAATCACAGAGTCATTCAAAGGAAGGTAATAAACAGTTAGAAATAATACTAATTGGTTTACAGTACACAATCACTAGTTTTTGCCCTTTCTTTAAGACAGCAAGCATAGAGAGAACCCATTTTAACATTTACTTGGGTAATTATCCAAACATAAAGTATTTCAGCCCAATAATTAGGTCAAAATATGTCTAAATTGAAAAGCTGATAAACAAATTGCAGCAGCAAGTTTAAGAAAAAAATTCGTGAAAAATCTACTCCAAATTGAATGGGCTGGGAATACAAAAGTTAAGCTTGGTTTCCATTATCTATAAAGCCATACAACAGCCTTACAATATTGTTGCAAGAATTGTGGAGATAGAAATCAGGTCTATCTCTTCTGCTAACCAGAGAATCCATACAATAACCACAACTACTAGTACATGGAAACCAGGCCTTAGTAGTGTCCAATGCAGCAACTAGCTATAACTAGATTGCATGTATAAACAATACCGTTATTCCAAATAATTATGCAATCCTACACAAACATGATCACATGGTAATATGTAGTCTTAATCTATTTATGTTCACACAACACCATGATTTCAGTATCATACATAAAATTATTATTGGCATAGACTAATTGATTATTAAAAATGCAGCAGATGAAAAGAGGCACAAATGAATGAAAAGGGCATGAATACTAAAAAGGGCAGAAAAATTCCAATCCCTGTTCAATAATAAAGCAGCAAAAAAGGAGCAGGAGAAAGAGTTAATTAAATGAGGATCATTGCAATCATAGCAAAGAGCAGCACTGTGACTGAGAGAGTAATCAATGACACAGCACCACTGGTAGGATCAGTGGTAGGATCAGTGGTAGGATCAGTGGTAGGATCAGTGGTAGGATCAGTGGTAGGATCAATGGTAGGATCAACAGAGTCAGGACACTCCAGCATTACAGGAGGTGCTTCATAAGGACAACCAATAGACGGTACAGGTTCAAATGTGACACTCTCATTAAAAGGCACACCCTATACCGGGGGTATAACATACATACAATATCAGAACAATAGTCATAATACACTTACAGGCTGAGCACAAAAAGCATACTGAGTGCTACTCAAAACAGAACTCTCCAATCTTTGAATTTCTTCAGGTGTCCAATCAATGTTATTAAAGATCTGACTAATAACAGATTCTGGTGCAAATTGCAACATACTTAATTGAGATGAACTATATTGATAATAATAATAATAATAATAAGTGAGAAATTGATGCATGTACATACTTGTAGTATCTTGATAAGAACGGTGCTAATGTAATAATATGAGCTGTACTCATGCAACGAGTGAGATTTCCACTAGGATAATAAAATGGAAATGTCAAGCACATTTCCTCATGAGTGCTTTCTCCTCCCTATATATACAATAAAATTTACACAGTAATGTCAAGTATCTTAC